CTTCGTTAGTGGAGAATCCATAGGTCTACCTCTCTGCCTGGGCTGCCTTTACCTTTTTAATTGGCCAGTCCTTAAAGAATAAATGCAAATACTACATCCTTGTCTTCATTTAGTACTTCCTTCCTCCAGTGTCTTGGTGGTGATTTATAGGTGGATGATATGGAGAAATGTAGAGCATATAATAATATTACTAAGTAGATTTATAACTACATCAAGGAAGGAATAAATATTGGGTATTAGTTAAACTAAGCTGGGCTACAAAATTTTCTCTTTGATCTTTTGCTGCTAGGGATTTTTAAATTCAATGACATGGATGAATACACAGAAGAAATGTTAAATGTATAGTGACACAAAACAGGATTAAAAATTTAAAATGATTCTGACATTTGGGGTAAATATAAAATCCTATAGCAAGGTTCTGATAGTTAATAGTGCAGGGATCAGTAGAGCAAAAGCATAGAACTAGAGCTTGAGAGGCTCAAGAGCTGTGTCCTTCCCCAGCGCTGCCTCAGAGAAGGGCAGAGCTGAATACACATGGTGTGTATGAGAAAGTGACGGTGGTGAGAGGATCAGCCAAGAGAATTCTGTGAATAGAAGGTCGTGGATGACTTGTGTATTTTACTTATGTATCCACATGTTCAAGGTAGGTAAAGGAGGGGGAGGGGATAGACACAATCTATCAGAGATCTCTATAATCTAAAATTTTAGTTCTGCTATATATTCTGTAAAACTAAATTGATTTCGGTGCTAACTTGAGGTCTCTCTGGTAAAGCAACAGAAGTCAGCAAAGTCCTGCTACACACCAACCATGTAACAAACCCCTAAGAGGGATGAGAGAAATATAAAGATGAAGTTCTTAGTTTTTCAAGGATATGAGCATGTGGCCATGTTAGCAGTGTTACAACACACTTGGTTAGTGGTTATACCTGGACAGATGGATAGATGAGTGGCTGAGAAAGATGGAAGGGTGGACAGACGCCACAAATGACATCAAGAAGCAAATATTAACTGTGAGAGACAGAAGTGTTGTGGCAGCAATGACAGTGGAGCTGATTGTCATGGTGTAATGGAAAGGTATGGCCTTTGGAGTTTTAAGACATGGATGCAGTATTAGATGGACCATTAACTGCTTGTGTAACTTTAGGCATTGTACAAAACTGAGTACTGGACTGACTTTGGGAAGACTCTAATTTTCTGCCAAAAATGTGGCTTTTAGCCTTTCCCTTGTTCTAACAAATCATTTTGAGTCTTATTACCTAGACAGGAAAGTAAACTTTTTAAAATTACTTCTTTTGGCCTGTTCATGCTGTGATAATATCCACATTAAAACCTTAATGTGTAATGTTGTAAGTCCAAAGCAAAGATAAGGATTTTAAAATAGATTAATCCAATTAATCTAAAAAAATAGGATTTTAGCTCAACAAAAGTAGTTTGCCCAGTCTTTACGGATGGGTTACACAGCGGGATTAAGTTGCATGGGGTTTCGTGGCATATTTGATTCTGTACTTTTCATTATTTGGGGATAGGAGCATGTAATTTGTTTTCTATCGCTAGACTATTCTAGTATAAAACACTAGTTGTTAAATTATAAAGAACCCAGGTGTATGAGCATAGGCTTAGATGAACCCTAAAGCTCCTGAAATTGCACGTAAGTCTTCACAGCATGATGTGATGGCTCACTCCTGTGCTCCTATACAGCTCCTGCGCATACCAGCCAGGAACTCTGCCCTTCTGGCATGAGTGACTATCCCAATTTTCCTGTGTCCCTCCAACCAAGCTGTGAGGCCCTAAGGGAAAGGAGCCTTCAAATCTGTAACCCCAGTTTAGTCAGGCACATAATAGGTAGTGTTTTTAAAACTATTGGTTGAATAAGTGAGTGAGGGTGTAGAGTTTGTGCTTACTCAAAGTAATTGTTTGGGACATATTAAAACTAAGCTATTGGTTTAATATAAATGTGTTCTCCAATATAAAAGAGTAGTAAGTGCTCCGGGAAAGAAGAGGGAGCATGGGGCATGAGACAGAGAGGTAAATAGCTATAGCCAGGAGAAGTTTGTGAAATCCTGGGTTACACTCGATTTGGCAGATTTTGTTACTAGAGGATTCTCAGGGCCTACTGGTATCGTGGAATTCCCAGAAGTGCATTTTGTATATGGTCGTTTAAACTTATTTGAACATAGAACCTCCCCCCTTTTCTTTCCACGGTGCACTAATTATCAATTTAAAGAATATTCATGAAACTGAATTTGGGAAATGCAGTCATAGTTTCTGAGCCGGAAAGAAGAAGGAAGGGGGAGAAAGAGAATGAAAATATGACTATTTGCGTTGTGGGGTGTTAAAAGCAACCTGTTTACAGGTATCAAACAAAAAAGACTTTCATATTGCTACAATCTTCATTTCTGCCAGCATAAATATGCTATCTGTTCTTGATCATTGGACCGTCGACCTCAATTGTGGTTACGAAATAGGAACATTCTGCTTGGACCATTTTGCGGAACTCAGAGACAAATGCCATCTCGGAGCTCAGGCATAAGGACCCACCTCCAAATCCGGTTCTTTGGTACACTGTTCACTATTATGCATATGTCATAGAAAGCTAAGAAAGGAGAATGAAAGAACATGACAAACAATAATAGCAGCAACAACATACTTCACAACGAGTAACACCCCTGGAATTTCTGCAATTACACAGGTCCCTTTTGGATCTCTGGGTTGCTTAGGAGCAATTCGGGTGAAGTGCTGCTGGCAAGTCTGGTCACCCCCTCAACCCTAGAAAAGCATGGCTTGGAGCTCTTCAGCTCCTCTCAGGATAGTTTTTGTTCAACCCAGTCAGGCTCAGCATCACTATCACCATCTATCTCTCTAAAAGACTTAGGAATATTTTTTCAAGGCTTATCTGAGTGTAGTTTTATGTGATTACACCATTTTATGAATGTGTAAGCAAACACTTACATAATATTTTAAAAATTAAACTCGAGTGTCTATAAACTATGTAAAACACATTTATCCTATTTTGAAGCTTATAAGTTATACGGAGAAAGAGGTTCAAAAGAGGATGCAACTCAAACAGTTGGGTTAGAGGAGAATAATACAAGAGTTGCTGCTGCTGTTTTTTCAAGGAAGCACAGGAAGGAGCAGGAGTGGAAACTAACGAGAGAAGCAGCAAAAATATGTATGGCCAGAGTAGGGGGTTAGCAATGGACTGGACTTGGCTTCATCACTGCTGCAAGGTCATCTCAACTTCTGTTATCTTTGGAAAACTTTCTCAAAGAAGACGAGGAAATTCCTAAGATGCTAGGATACTTTGTGAATTTATAAGGAGTCATATTACCTCTCCTAACTTGCGCAGTTTAAACCTTTAACCATTCACACAAATGCACTGTTGGGGAAAATTGTTTTGCTTTGCAAAGGCACATCTAAATATTTGCAAATGCAGCAACAATAAGCACATTCTATATTGTATTGCCATTATTCAGTTGCATGTTATTTTCTTGCTCCTAAATTGCAAGCTCCTCAGGAACTCATCTTTGAATCCCAAGCAGTAAGAATGAAACCTGGTGTTTAATAAATACTGATAAACATATTTGGAGTAAGATGCATTTCTTAAATAAGACTCCCCCAAAGCAAAAGGCCAAAGAGGAAAAAGTGAAAATAATTGATTACATCAAGGCATTCTGTTCAGTAAACTAACTCGTCAATAAAGTTAACAAAGGGGTTAACTCTTGCAGAGTTGGAGAAATTATTTGCAATCTTCAAAATGCAGATGTAATTAACATCTATTATAATACACACACACACACACACACACACACACACATATAACAAACTCCTGTAAATCCACAAGGGCAAGACAGGAAATCAAATATTAACTGAGCAAAAGTTATGAATAAGCCATTTCTAGAAGGGACAATCCTATAATGTCCTGGAGCTGTGTTGTGCCATCCTATGAGAGCCTATTACGAAATTTCACTAGGTAGTTGCTAAAGGGTAGCTTGAAATTGGCCATACTGCAGTATTTATACCATGGAAATTGACAAACTGCACAACAAATCAGGCTCCCTTCTCTTTGGTCATCTCCTAAAGCCAGGAGTTAAACATTTACCAGCCCAATGCTAGAGAAATCCAAATGACTAACTTTCATGTGCATGAGCTCACTAATAGAGAAATGCAAATCAAAACAATATTGACATGCCACTTTTATGTCTAATCAAATTAGCACAAATTTGAAAGTTAGATAATAACAAGTGTTGATGAGAATATAGGCAAATGGAAACACCAAGCACAGCCAAGAGATTTTAAGTTGGCACAGACTTTTTGGAGTGCAATCTGGCACTGCCTGGAGAAAATGTGTGCATATGCCTGATAATCCAGTAATTTCACTCACTGGTATATATCCCATAGGTTTGTGCAAGGAAATACATAAGGATGTCTATACAGTGTCATTTTTGGTTAAAAAGTTGGAATGAACAGGAAAATAAGTAAAATGAAGTACTGCATATGATGGAATATTATGTAATAGAAATAATGTATTAGATTTTCATAAAGTAATAAACATAAGTGGCTCTTAGTAAATGTCTAATGCTTTTCTAAGTTCTTTGCACACATTAATTCATTCACTCCTTACATTTTTAAAAAGTGAATATTAGTAACTCTATCTTACAGGAAAGGAACATGAGGATCAGAGAGTTTAAGTAATTAGCATAAGGTCACATAGCATGGAAGAGCCAGCATTCACCCTATGCAGTATCATCTGATAGGAACTGTGGCCTGATAGGAACTGGGCCACACAGCAGGAGGTAAGCAACAGACAGGTGAGTGAAGCTTCATCTGTATTTGTAGCTGGTCCCCATTGCTCACACTACCACCTGAGCCCTATCAAGTCAGCTGTGACACGAGATCTCATAGGAGCATGAACGTTACTGTGAACTGCACATGTGAGGGATTGAGGCTGCACCCTCTTTACGAGAATCTAATGCCTGATGATCTGTTTCTGTCTCCCATCACCCTCTGACACTGTCTAGCTGCAAAAAAACAAGCTAAGGGCTTCCAGTGATATTCTACATATGGTGAGTTGTCTATTTCATTATATGTTACATTGTAATAATAATAGAAATAAAGTACACAATAAATGTAATGTGCTTGAATCATCCCAAAAATATCCCTACCCCTGGTCTGTGGAAAAATCATCTTCCACAAAATTGGTCCCTGGTACCGAAAAGGTTGGAGACTGCTGGTCTAGATTTTCCCCTCTTAATCATTATGTTCTACTGACTAAAAAGCTTAAAAAAAAACAAAGCTTAAAAGCATTAAGTAAAAAACAGAAAAGAAGCAGAGAAAGATCTGTAGTACAATTTTTATCTGAACTAAAATGTACTAAAAACACTACATACTTCTCAGGATGTACACATATTTAAGGGCATATAAGAAATGCATTAGGGTCAGGATAGGGGATGGTAAGGACAAATCATCAAATGACTGTATCACATATTGAGCAGTATAATTAATTCAATTTGGTAGATTCAAAGACCAAATATAGCCAATGAATGAATATTTAGCATCCTATAGACTTAGAGGGTGTTATGTTGAATACAAGACAGCATTTGATAATTGACCCAAAATACTGTCTTTCTCAATCTGTGGTTGTAATAAATCTGACTTGTTGAAACAGAATGCGTAGAAAATAAGAATCATGCTGCATGTTAATGCATTCTTTTTCTTTTTTGGAAGACAGGGTCTCACTCTGTTGCTCATGCTGGAGTGCAGTGGCATGATCTGGGCTCACTGCAGCCTCCGCCTCCTGGGTTCACGTGATTCTTGTACCTCAGCCTCCCGATTCGCCAAAATTAGAGGCATATGCCACCATACCTGGCTCATTTTGTATTTTTAGTAGAGACGGGGTTTTGCCAGGCTGGTCTCAAACTCCTAACTTCAAATGATCCGTCCACCTTGGCCACCCAGAGTGTTAGGATTATAGGAATGAGCCACCACACCCAGCCACTAATACATTCTTAATCTTTTATTAAAAAAAAAAAAAAAAAGACATCTGATTATCATTAACTCTTGCCCAGAAGTCCACAACCATGAAAAAATAATTTTATGATTCCACCTTAGAATGAAAATACAAACACTGAGTTTTCTGCATGCCACATGGAGCAAATGTTTAAGATTCAAATTTTAAAAACTTAGGAAACATGGTAAGAGTTTTTTATGTTTGCTTTCAAACAATTTCAAACAGAAGTACTTATGGTATCATTTAAATTTCCTTGCCGGATGGAAAAATGATTCTTCTTTCTCCATAAGCATGGCCAAGTTACTTGGGAATTAGGCAAATAAGACAAAAAGGAAAAACAGTCTCTCAAGTCAGTTTGTTTTTCTAATTAAAACAGGTAAATGTCAATATTGCAGAGACTCAGATGTTGTCATTTTCCTTTAAAAATTACTGGGTAAAGATTTTTCTTATTTCCCTTTGAAATTACTCAACAGGTTGCCTCTAAGCTAATATCTTTTCCACACACATTTAAAGATCATGCATAAATGAACAGATTGGGAGTTCAGTCGAACTCCTGGTGGCTGTTAGATCACAAGTGATCAGGCCTGCATCTGCTTCCCTCTGGCTGCATCTAAACAAAGCCAATTATACTAGAGAAAGCAATCAGGTGAACATCTAGTTCATCTAGCTTGACAGGTGTTTCACATTGTGGGAGTAACACTGCATTTATGGAAATGTTTGATACCTGTGCACTCAACGTGGCAGCCACTAGCTATGGGTGGCTCTTGAGCACTTGGAATTTGGCTAGTGCAACTGAGGAATGGAATTTTTTTATTTCACTTTTAAATTTAAGTGGCCATACCTAGCTACTGGCTCCATACTGGATGGTATACGATGGCATTGCATTAGCAGGGTGATACCATGAAGCAAGCATATGTTTAAAGTTTCCATGACAAAATATTCTAATATATAAATATGTAAATTGGAAAATACATCATCAGGATTTTTTACTCACTAAAGGTTAATTATTACTAACATTTGGTGTATATTATTCCAGACTCTTTGTTCTAAGGCAAATAAACACACTCAACCATAGGAAGATTTAAAAATATATAAATTAGAATCACAGTATACATACTAATCTATAGCTTACTTTTCTCTCAACAATACATGGTGACCGACCATCTTTATCAGTACAGAGACATATTTACAGCTACACGAGACAATGCATTCTCTTCTTTGCTAAGCCTATCTCATGTCTGTCATTTCCAGCCAAGAAGTCCTGAGGAACACAAGGGACCAGAATCACAGTTATGATGCTGCTTGAATTAAGAGCCTTATCTCAGGATGAAGGTGGAGAAGTAATAGGTGGAAACTCAAAGAAAGACCTATGGATGCCAGGTGGAAGCAGTTAAATTTCTTTATATACTCTAAAGGACTTTGAGCAAGGTAGTGGCATGGTCAAATCTGTCATTGAAGAGGTTGACCCTGGTGGTAACCTATACGAGACTAGAGCAGAAGATGGTAGGCAGAAAAGTCAGATTTGGTACAAAGGTTTGTTTACATATCAGTTACCAACTCAGAATACCTCTAACACTGCTGTGCTATTGCATTTCCAGAGCAAGCTCACAACCTTCTATCTAGCTTGCTCTCTCACAAGAAAGAAGTGACACACCCTGCTTTACAACAGTTTAAACTATTGTGAAAATATAAAATGATTCATTAACTAAACATTTACTGAGCACCTACTATATGCCAGCCATTAGAGAAATAGCAGTGCCCCAAAATGAAGTCTCTGCCCCCATGGGAGAGATTGTAAAAGGAATAAATTTGGGGCTATGGGATTAAAATTAAATAAGTTTAATTTTGAACATATACATTTTGATATGCCTATTAGACATCCAAGTGAGGTATAAAGGAGTCAGCTGAAATATGAGTTGAAGGCAGTTTTTGGTTAGGATACATTTTGGGGGGTCATCAGAGTATGCGATGAGCTAGTTAGTGAACACACAAAATGAAGAGGAGTCCGGGAGATGAGACCAAAAAAGGTGATGACAAGAATGGAGCTGGAGAGGAAGCAACCATGAGCCATGGTTCTAGGACCAGAATCTCCAAAGAATAGGGGAGGTGCTGAGGTTTAGAACTATGTATAACTGCACCAAGGAGGCAGGGTTAGTAGTATTGACCTGACCACGGTTAGATGGTATGAGGTTCCAGGAGGATTGATTTTAAGGAGAGCAGGACATGAGTCTAGAAGAAGCAATGAGGAGCAAAACCAACACCTAGCCTGTCACTAAGTCCAGTAGTACAAGAGGTGTGGAAAATAAGACATGGCCACTTGGGAGGGCTCTAGGGAAGCAATAGAATTAAGGAGAGCCAAATTTCCAGTAGGAAAGGGAAGGTACTATTCAGACAAGATTAAAAATATAATGGACTGTGCTGATTGCAAGTGAGTTTTGGAGTTCACAGAGCAACTCATACTTTGAATGTGCATAAGAAGGTGCTCTTTGAAAAGGCGGGGGATGGAATCAGAGATGCACAGAGCTGTGTGGGCACAAGAGACCACAGGGTGAGAGAAGACCTGGAGTCCTTATTTTCTAATTGTGGTTAATATAGATAGGAACAAAGGGCATGACAGAATTAGTCCCAGTGTTCTTTGAGGCCGAATGGTGGTGCTGTATTGAGAAGGGAGGAGGAGCTAGCTCTTCTCTATTATGCTCTTCCATGTTGTGCTATAAATTGGGGGGAAAAATTAAGCCTTTGGTACTAATGTAGAAATGCAATCATTTAAAAAACATTTTTAACGTGTAATGTGTTTCCTGTGTTGTGGCAATCTAGCACTAGACAGCATGGATTTTTCTAATACTGCAAAAAATATCAGTTGGACCCCTACTATTGTACTGGGTATGGACAGCAATGTAAAGAAAGGAAAGCAGTCATCTCCAGAAAACACAAGCACTCAAATACAGCTGTGCCTACTGTCCAGCAAGGGATGAGAAGAGATATGCCAGCCGCAAACCTTTTTCTTGCTCTTTGAGATTCTAGGAGTTGCATCTTCGCTGTCTGCAGAGCAAAGGTCAGCTGTCCACTTCTAGTATTCCTATGTTGAGTATTTATAACATTCACATAACAAACTAAATCAGACAATCATACACATATCAGACCATCTTCATTGTTCAAAATGTGGGGGATCTATTTCCCACACCCAACCAGGCTTGGATTTCCTCTGTGTTTAAAGAAGTGAGAAAATGTTAGGAAAAAATTAATATAGAGTCAGCAGAACTAGAAATGACAAACATACGCTATATGTGCCACCCTTCTCCGTCCATATGTCAGATGTGCTAATAATTTGGGGGATTCTTTCCTGTTGATCTTTTCCACATAGTACTTCAGACAGTCATTACCAATTATTGAGAATTGGGCCACCCCTGATAACAGAGGTGGTGCCACCTTTTCAGATACATAAAGTAGGTTCTGAAATGGGATAGAATGTCATGGGGTTTTAAATACACGCTTGAATGATTTCTATGCTCACTTATTGTATCCACAAGGTCCTGAGATGAGAAAACTCTGGTTTCAAAGTATCTTCTCCAGAAGAGAGGACAAGAGACAATCTACCATGAGATACTGCTAGACATTTGCTCACTGATGGTTTGATTTTGTACGAAGCCAAATGGCTTCAGTGAGGATGGCTATCTCCTGCCACAGGTACATCCCCAAATCTAATAGTTAGTTGGCATATCATGAAGTTCACATGGAATTTGGTGTAATCATGGTGATTCTACAAAGCTCACAGCATTGACTGCAGCAAAGATTTGTTTTGGTTTTTAACTTCTAATATTAGATTAAGTTGTTCCCAGATGTATTTTGTTAGGAAAATGTTCTTATACTTCCTTAACAATCTTAAAACCACTTTTTAAGTTTTCGCCTGGGAAAGGCTTTCTTCACCTTCTCATATTTAGAATGAATGCTAACCAATTTGGTCAACCATATAAGCTCAGAGCTTGGAGTCATTTAAAGTTTCATTTGGAGAAGCAGACTTGGAGCAGATATAGCATTTTTGTTGTTCTCTGTAAATTGAAATAAGATAAGAACAGGCATTAAGCTGCTTAGAAATCTGAATTAGAGAAACAATTATTCTAATACACATGATAGGGGAAAGGATCTCAGAGCTCATAATCTCCTGATTTGTATGAAAAACTGTCACTCTGTGGATGTCCATGCTTGACTGGAGTTTCTGAGAAGTATTCTAAGCCTCCTTTTCTCACTTTTATCTCCTCGGATTGATTTCTGGTTCTTTTGAAAATGATTGTTCCTCTTTAAAACTTTCTGAACATAGCACAATGCATTATCTGTATCATTTGGCTCTCTAAATACTCTGCTATTATACTTGGATTCTTACGCGTGAGCATGCCTTGTTGGTATTTGCAGTTGAAATTTATTCAATGAAATGTGAAATTACTTTGTAAGATACATTTAGAGCATTTGACTTAGACTAAGCATGCTGAGCTAAAAAGGTTCAGGAAGTTATAATCTTAGATATTTAATATTGTTCATGACAGGGTACCTTTTCATTTTTGACTGCCTGCTTTTTGACCTCCTGCAGTGGCCACCAGAGGGGTAGGAAGTCAGTATATAAAAGATCATTTCAATGGTGACTTCACATTTTTGACATCTTTGATGTCAGAACTGCCATAACTAGGGTGTGTAGTCAGGGAGCTGGTCTGAGCTTCATCATGTCTGACACCTTGTACCTCACAACCTGCTATCCCCAGAAGTGGTTCCTGAAAATGGTTAGTATTGCTATATGAGCTCACCCAGCCTTAGGCCACCCCTTTCCTGAACAGAGCTTATTTTCTATGAAGGAGAGTAAGAACTCTAATCCCTGAGAATCAGAAAAAAAAATTAGCTGGATATACTTAAGAGGAGGTCAAACTCACTCAGCACGTTCAGAGACTGAGGAGTCAGGAAACAGAACAACAATAACCAGGCTGCTTTAATTCCTACAAATACTTCAAGGAGCACCCTGGGCCTGAAAGATACATCCCTCTACTTGGGAGCTGGTGAAAAATCAGCACTCCAGATCAAGAGATCCTCAATGATTGAGAACACAGCACAGCTCATGTGTTTCCAGAGTCTGGTACATGGTAACCGATGTGTGCTTGGTTAGCAAATGGTGAAAGTCAGAATCGAAAGACAAGATTCAGACATGAGCAGCCAGATGGGTTCCCATGCCCAGACTACCGCACACCCACATTTTCTCAAGTGCCTAAAGACAACCACCAACCAGAGATGCTCTGTAGAGTGCCATGTAGTAACTGTGAATCCTATTAGAAACTGAAAACACCATTCCTCATAAATCTCTCTTTAGGCCCGCTTCCTTTCTCTATGGTGGCTGTGCAAATTCTCCTTTCAGATGTTAAGAAATTGATGTAAGTACCCACTGTGGTCATCTAGAAGCCTGAGGAAGGGAGGAATGGAAGGGCTCTGGAGTTGTCTTTATGTTACTGCTTCTGTTTTTTTTCTCTCATTGAAAAATCTTCCGTGGAGGACACATTTCTGAATCTACTTGTCTTAAAGCTTGGATCCAAATGACATGCTGTTGGGTCTCCCTCCTTCGAGGAGCTGCTGCCCATGGCTTCAGGAAGGAGCCTTGTCATTACCACAGAAGCTGCTCTGTGCACCTCTTAGCATGGCTATGATGGTAAATTAATAATGCATATAATAGCCATGCTAAGAGGTGCACAGAACAGCTTCTGCAGTAATTCTTCTATGAGACCTTGCTACACACATGCCATTTTCCTTGTAATTTCTCTCACTAAATAGGAAGAGTGACATATTTTGGCCAGTGGAGCTGTGTGCCAATATGACTACAAGCAGAGGCATTTGAGAGTTCATACCTGCTTTTGCATGTCTGCCAGAAGAACATGCCTGGGTTAGCCAGCTGGAAGCATGTGGAAGATTCACAGAAGAGAGCTGAGTCACGCAGGTGATACTAAAATTACTCCCAGATGTGTGCACCACAGACAATAGCCGGTCAACTCTGAGACCTAGTTGCGTCCCTGGACAAGATCAGGAGAATGGCCCAGTATAGTCTGAACAACCAACCTACAAACTGGTAAGCTAAATGCCTACTGTTATATGTCACTGAGTTTTGGATTGGTTTGTTACACAGTGTTATTACAGTGATGGACCCCAGATAGAGCTACTTTGTTTTGCCGTTGAGGGATAGCATAATTCTGTGATTGAGGCACCAGATGCTAGAAGCAAAAAGATTGGGTTCGCATCTTGCCTCTGCCACTCACTAATTACAGTGAATCATCACTTAAATTCTCTATACCTCAGATCCTTCATCTGTAAAATGGAAACACTAGTATCTATCGACTGGGGGCTAATATGAAGATTAAATAAGCTAATTATCTGAAGAGCTCAGAACTATCTCTGCCATATAATATGCACTATAAATATGCTGTTATCATTGGCTATCATGTTGATCGGCATTGGTGAAAAGTCAAAATGGTTTGAGTCTGTATGTCTCACAGTCTGTCTCTTTCCTCTTCATTAGGGAATGTTAATGGGATTTTTCTAAGGAGTTTCGTTTTTATTTCAAGTGCTACTACTGCTTAGGGTGGGCAAGAAGTTTTTTAAGCCGGCCTCACTGTCTTCTCTCTTTTTATGAGCCAGTCTGTGCCATATCTGGAGATATTTACTGAGACTTTTGGCATTTGAGTATTATTTTTCTCTAGATATCAGTGTTTATACAAATCTTTATTTTTATATATTTTTTTTCAATTTTGAAAGGTATATGGGAGATTATGGGTAAGTAGCTCTTTGACTCAGAGGTAAAACAATATAGTTTCAAATAACCAAATAAAACCTTGTTTATTTGTCTCTCCTTATTTGGATTTTCCATGTATTAAGAATAACTTGGCAGATTAATATTCTTTGTTCCTTTTCCATATTTTGAGTCTATGTCAAAATATGTAATTTGAAAGGTACTTGGGGAAGTTCCCTGACTTACATACTCTGTTAGTTCTTTGGCTCATGGGATTAAAAATTGTTGGAAATGGAAGGTACTTTAGAAATTACCCAGTCTTTCCAGTTACAGATGAGGGAACCAAAGCTCAGACAAGTTAAGTAGCTTGTTTGTGGTTCCAGCAAAAGTTAGCAAAACAACTTGGGTAAGAATACAGAGCTCTCCCAAGTCCAGTGGACTCCTACTTTTGTAGTGTTTAATAATTGATATGCACTAGAAAAAATATATAGTGTAATCTGTACACATAATAAAAAGACATACTACCAAATTTTTGAAGTAGGACACCATCAATGACATAGAAACTTCTTGTATATACAGCTCTAATCTTAGCGTACGGTATCTTGTTGCAACCCTAACTTGATACATTTCCCAAAGAGTCACCATTTTTCTAAATTTCATATTTATAATTTTATTGCACATTGTATGTTTACCTAAATTATGTATTTAAATAAAAATGATATCAGTCTTGCTTTTTTCACTGTACATTATATTCTAATACTCATCTACATTCTTGCCTATAACTGAAGTTCATTTATTTATATTGTTTAAATTGAGTCTTTTTATTTTTTGCTATAAAGTAAAATTGCTATGAATTATCTTGATCATGTCTAATGAGATATGTATAAAGTTTATTTAGGGCAAGTGATTACAAGTGGAGTTTCTGGAACATAGGTTAATATACATGCTCAACTTTGTAAGCTAATACCAAATTGTGTTTAAAGTGGTTTTTCTTTCTCATGTGCAGCACCAGGATTTTAGAATTCTTAGTGTAGTCTTTCAGCTAGTAAATCCAGTACTAGTAGGCATATTGTATTCTTAAGTTGCACTTCTCTAATGACTAATGTTGACCATCTTTTCATATCTGTATTTACCCTTTCTGTTTCCTCTTTAATAAAATGCCAATTTATGTGTTTTTTTTTCATTCTATTTTTCTTTTAGTTGACTTGTAGTTTTTAATAAATTCTGGACACTAATCCTATCAAATACATACATGACAAAT